CAAAAAACCTGAACAAATTTCTTATTACTTTTCTGTTGAACCGTTGCTGATTTCCGTCGATCCCTTCAAGTTCTCCCTGATGTGTGTGTGTGTGTGTGTGTGTGTGTGTGCGTGTGTATGTATGTATGCATGCATGCCTGTGATATCTACAAAGGACAGGCACTCCGCGTTTCGATTTTATCTCTTTTCGTCATGTTTATTTTCCAACAGCATTCTGTAGCTCAAGGAAATTAATAAATACGACTGGCAGAATCAGATATAACTGATCCATTTTGCTGACAAGCTTGTCCATCAGCCAGTTGTGCTGTTTATCGAATTCTACCATCATAATTTAGCCGGATTTCCTGACCTATCATCTAATTTTCTCTTCGCCGATTTTTCTGCGCCTGTTACACTGATCAGCCACATGCAGTGCTTTTATCAGCTATGATAATATGCATTTTTTGAGCACAAAATGCGATAACCGTTTTCGTATGGAGAAGTCTCTGAAAATTCGTCAAACACTGACCAAGATGCAGTAAGTACTGTTTTTCTTCTCTTTTGCTGCAAGCCAAATCTTTTCCGTCCTAAATTCTCCCAGGTATAACCAATAAATAATTCCTTCCTTTTCTCCGCCGCTGCTATCAAAAATGTCGTCCCTTCTGCCATTGTCATACCTAGCAACACATCTCTTCCTGTCTTAATCATTTTCTCCTCTTATGAACAAGTTCTGCGTTAAAATCAACCATAAAGGCCACGGGTGTGAAAAGTTGACGACTAAGAGTAACAAGCTCAGCAAAGAAGATTCAATTCCAACATCATCGCTGCCCTTGTCTAGCATAAAAATTTTGTGAAATCTAGCCTGAGAATGAATATACCGATATGTGAAAAGTGAAACTTCCGAATGATTAGCGAAGATTCATTGTAAATACTGAAGTAATTTTGATTTCAACAAAGTGCTACATTTGTTGCAGCACTACAGATGAGCTGCATCTAGGCATTTTGCCAGCTACTGACCAAAATGTAATGCCTACTACCTAAAAAACTGTGAATTTTAAATGCAGTACCTATTCAGATCTATTCACAAGTCGATCACAGCTACGTCAGGCTCTTTTTCTTTAAACTACAAGCTAGTATCCACCGCTTATTCGATATAATATGCATTGCCGTTACAGATGCAGCCTAAATGTGGAAGAACACATAGCACAGATGACCAGAGATGGGCACAATTCAGAACAGTTTACTTCCATGTGCAGAAGTCCGGAAAAGCCAATTTTGAAGCCATGTCCCAGTGCTGTGCTACTGTCGTGCTGCACCTGCACCGACGAATCGTTCAGTGCCAATTTGTGGACGGATTCACGCAGAATGCTATATTCGCTCACATCCATTGGATACAAACTCGCATAGATACACGAAGCATTGGGCTGTAAATATTATTCAGTAAATAAATTAACCGCAAACCCAGAAGACAGTCCACTGATCCAGCAATCAATTCAACAACTAAACTGGAAAACTCATTTATGGGGAGGTGAAAGACAATGTGTTCACCACAACAGTCAATTCGAGAATTACTGTTTTTGAATACCTTCGTTTTCTGTTTTTGAAATTTTATCCCTATCAAAAAATCCAAATTTCGTTCAGTTTTAAGAAATTTCAGCCTCCTATCTACTGTTTTTTAAATTTTAATTGAAAAAACATTAATATTTCTAAAAAACACTGATATCCCTTTGCAGTTTTAATTAGAATTTGCGCTCCCACTACACAAAGAAATGAATAAAGGTCCTGGCATAGCTGTGCCCGGCGTCTAAGAACATTCCAGTAACACGAGATCTGCACGCTGCTTGCCCATTGCTTTTAATACCGTTAGTATTTGCAGTAAATTTCCCTACAAAGCGTGAAATTGTGTAAAAAAATGATTAAAATTAAAAGCAAAAAATTCTAAACCATACAAGATTTTAAAGGAAACTGTTTTGATCGCAAAAAAGCCGTGCTCTATCAAAGCGTAACTTCCGAAAAATATACCTACAAGACCACTAACTAAGCTATCAACTGTATGTGTTAATTGACTGCACCGACTAACCATAATTCTCAAATCCAAACCCTGAAGAGAGGCAATGCTTGTAGATTGTGACGCTCGATGCTCAGATCGTACAGCGTCTCGCCGACAGTAGCATCCTGAACATGTTTCATCGTTGTCAGCAAATAACCCACTTGGCCAGCATACAAACACTGCAATTAGCTTGCATTAATAGTAAAACGCCAAAAAAGCAAACTACGGAATTTAAGGTAAAGAGTGAAAAATCCCAATTAGCAAATAACAATAATTGGCCAACGCACGGGCTGCCCGTGCGAAGGTGTGTTTTTTGCATAGTTCCCCGCACTTTTTGTCGCTACCAGCACCGTTTTCCCGGCAAATGCTTCTAGCTAAACAAATTAAAATTGGCCGTCAGCCAAGAAACCCCCACTTAAAATTTCAGCTTTCAAGCTTTCCTAGCTTCTGAGTTACCAATTTATCCGAAAAAAAATCACGCGGGCCCGTACGTGGGTACTACGCTTACCTGGGGGCTGGTTTTGAGCTCATTAATACCTACTTGGACAGGAAACATCCCTCTGAGATTTCAGCTTTCTAGCTTCTCAGATCCCGAGTTATCAACCTACCCAAAAGAAAAAATTTCACTGGTCCGTACGTGAGTACCTCGCATACCCGGGGGCTGGGTTTCAGCACATTAATATCTACTTGAACGGGGAACGTCCCCTTAGAATTTCAACCTCCCAGCATTTCTGGTTCCCGAGCTAGCAGCTTACCCGTAAAAAACTTTGGCGGGCTTGCACATGGGTACCACATGAGTAAGGGCACCCATTTTGGGGATTGGGACCCGCACATGCATGTAGATTAAGCTTTCCAGGTTTCAGCCCCGTAGCTTTTGTGGGTCTCGAGATGAAAAATCGGTACAGACGCGCAGCGCGCACACACACACAAACCCACATACAGACAACCTCTCGTCAACATGCGTTTTCTGCATTGCATAGCTGCAAAAAACGCATAAAAAAACTGAATTACGGAAATAAGTTAAAGATGAGCCAAGGGATAATAAGGAACCTGCACTTCCCGCATTTCCGGATGCATGATGCCCACTTCGAGCACTTCGTATTCACAATTGCTATGATAAGTTCGAATTCTTTGACCTTTAACAACTGCCCCATCAAGCACAGACACACAAACTGCGGGGCCACGATATGGCTCAAACCAGGAATCAAATATTCGAGCTCGAAAAGGCGACCCGAGTTTGACTTGAGGGCAAGGCACTCTGTAAGAAAGTAGAACATAAACGATGATAAGAATATGACAAGAATGTCGGAATGAAATTAGTTCTTGCGGAATATCTGACAAATCTCGTTTTTGGCATAGCAAAAAATCACTGCGCCTACGATAAAAAATGACTTAGCTTGGATATAAATATAAAAATGACTACTGGTAAAAAAATAAAGATTGCTGTAAAAATTGTAGTCCATAAGCGGAACAATATCAAAAGTATCAATAATGTGTAGAATTTGGTGCATCAATTCTGGCATGTCTAGACAGACGGAGTCAAATGTGTCGAAGGACGCATGAAAATCCTGCGGATGAAACTGAAAACTTCGAAAAAGGGGGGCTTAACAGCACAGCTACCACCGGAAAAGGTGAATTTTAGTTAATATGCAAACTACAGCAGAAATTTTCCCGGATCAGCTCTCTGGTCAGATGCTCCCACAAAAAAAAGTTCTTTCGATTACCAGTAATCTTTATTTTTTGTGGAACAAAGAACAATTAATCCGGCTTCGAAAAGCCATTTTTGCATTGGGAATCAGAAGGCAACTGACGCGCCGTTCAATAAATCTGCTCTTATAATTTAGGCTTCCAGCGAAAATGTCAAAATTTAAAATCCTCTTCGCATTCATCTTCCATAATGGGCAGAGGCATTCGGCAAGCGGCCCGTTTTGTATCCAGGCAACCCCAAGCAAAAAAAAGGCTTACCTTTCAATGATTGCTTCCAATACGCTGCTAACATTTGTGCCATTTTTAGCCGAAACATAAAGAATTTCGGACGGCGAGAAATCGAACAGATTCTCCATTTGTGATACTACCTGAAAGTGACGGCACATGTATGACAGTTCTTTTCATGTTGTTTTGAAAAAATGTCAACAAGCAGGCTACAGTCGACTCTGTCTTGCGTGCAAATGGCCAGCGAACAGAAAAATATTAAAAAATATCTCAAAAAATTTTACTGAAATTATACATCAGCCAGTTTTGAATATCAGAGATATTTAAGTAAAAACAATCAGCTGATTACGAATGTTTCAGCCCATTAAGTCACATACGGCCCGGTTGAGCGCTACAACTGAACCCTGTCACTGTGACTGTTCTAGTCCCAAATAAACGAAATTTTCAATTGAAAAATATTCAAAATATTTAAAATATATTCAAAATACAAAATAAGATAATAAAATGTTGAAAATAAACTAGAGAGACACATCTTGTTGCAATATCTGTCTTAAGAAAAGAAAAAATTGGCCAACGCACGGGCTGCCCGTGCGAAGATGCGTTTTTTGCAGAGTTCCCCCCAGTTTTTGTCGC